ATAAATTTTAATACATACATTTGTAAATACTAAATTGTCTAGCAGTCCAAACCTAAAGAATAATATTGATGGTTACAAGAAGTATAGGTGCATTTAATATCTTTTGAACTTTTAAACGGTTCTTYWAACTTTGCTAAGTATGAATCTCAATACCTAGTAAACATTAAAATTTATTTTAAATATTGAAAATARTAAAACTGTAATCTWACAAGTTTCTCAGAATAACAACAAATTTAACCACTTACTTAAGTATACTCGAGTAAGTATAATATATACAGATTTATTATTGTTTGCTGCTGACTTAACGTTGTTTACAACTTAAAAGAAATTTTTAATTAGTAACTAATTGTTTACTAAAACGTTAATTATATTGCAGAATAATATTGCTGACTTGAACGTTATGTTAAACTCRTGCCTATTTATAACTATATGTACCTAATTAGCAAGTTACGGAATAAGATTTGAAAACGTACAGTTTTAATAGCACTCAAATAGGAAATATTGCAATAATTATTTATTGTCTTTTTAGTTCTCCAAATAAGTATATTACTTACAAATTGTCCAGTTTGAAACTAAAACATCTAATAACTAATAAGAATTGGACGTACAAATGTCATGTTATATACTATTATGCGATATTGAAGATATCTATTTAGTTATATTATTTAAATTTCCTTATGTGTTTTTAGATTAATTATTAAAATCAAAATTAAAAACACATATGTATTATTTCGTATAATATAGATTGTAATTTTATCAGATAATTAGTTGCTATTATTATTTATTAATCTGAGAGGCATTTATATAGAATATCATTATTTATTATTTGTATACCTACAAGTAAATTTAAATTTCAACATATTATATACCTACATTTCATTGTGCAGTAGGTATGGCATAAAAATAATATTGGCTCACGTAAAAAATCAATTTTATTTGTATTTTCTTCTTCTTATCGTGTCGGTATTTATTGACATGGTAGGAACCTTTAAGCTTTGTTCCTGGAACGACGAGATTGCACATTTATGAGATATATCTGATAKATACGACAATAATGCAAAGTTCGTCAACCAATCATACCAACCACGGTCTTCAACCTAAAAAGTCCTTTTCAGGGCCAACCATGMTATCCATACATTTTATTTATGTGGCCCGTATATATAAAAAATGTCCGGGTATTAGTTATTATACTATAACTAACCCCCTTATACGATTACAAAAAATCTCATATRCCTAGTATTTGTTAGACATTTACATGATTACATTAACTCCACGTTAACTGATAATATTTTTATCATTAATCCATAATAATAACTTTGGGTACTGCCATAGCGTTAGGTTTACATAGCTATTTTTATTTTTATTTTTTACTTCATTATAACAATAATACAATATATAGGTACGTGTACATTTTTCTCTAAATTGATATTGATTATACACATAGTGTTTGATTATTTCTTGGATAGGTATAACTCGTTTCCCGAGTATATGCTTAATATATGACATTGTACAATAATACTTGTATGGGTGAACATTTATATATGTGAGATCACATAAATACGATATTCAGTGACATAGGTACATTATATTGTACACACTGCAGCGCACTCGCACAATTCTGTTCTTATATACTGACACGTGTCTTCGAATATATTATTATTATATTATGTACAGGGTGTTTATCGATTCCTTAACCCCCTCCCCCTCTGTTAAGCAAAAACCTGTCAAAAATCGTCTCTGGATAATGCGTGCACAAAAAGCTCGGGACCCATATCGCACGCTCCATTTGTAGTTGACAAGGCATGGCTATAATATATATATATATATATATATTTAGTGTTTGCTTTGTGACTGGCATGAACAATGTGCTTGTGTGTGTGTGTTTGTGTGTGTGTATGTCAGTGCGTGTGGTAGCTGGTAGGGTACATTAATATATATCGGTGGCTATGTATACGAACGTACGTCCTGTCATCAAAATAATAATTGGAACCTACAGTACTTGATAAACACTATTTCGTATAAACGCTTCGTCGTAATGCAGACATGCAGTTGCTGCGTAAATTGATTGAACATAATATTATTATTATACTGAATTAATATATTAGATTATAATATAATAATTATAATATTAATTTTACTATATAATGTAATTTTATAAAACAATATTTTATAGGCAACTAATATACAATATTGTACTATAAGAATATTATGATGAACCTACATCTACGTGAAACTTAGACAACGTAGGTCAGTGTAAGCAGTTTATATGAACTGGTTTATTCATGAAACGTGCGTTTTATACAATAAATATCTAAGGTTCTATATTATGATTATGTACATTATAAACTTATAAATCGTTTAATATTATTAATGACAGATACAATATACGAATAAGTGTTTAGGTCATAACATACGTAATAATGTAATATGTTAATTAGGTACACAAGTAGTGGCATACAKGATGAGGAATRATTAATATTACGTMGTAAGAATTAATTTAAAAATGTTTGTTTTGTAAGAAATATATTGAAGCAATTTTTAAAATATATTGTTGAATCTTTAATAATTTTTTTGTTTATCAATTGAATAAACAACCTGAAATAAATAACCTCTAAATAACTTGAAATTCATACATGCATTGTGATGCAGTTGTATTATAATGTTAGAGGTAATACAATTTATTAAAATCAATACTCACGTGATATATTTTTAATGAGATGATAATACGTATCAATAGGATCTATAATGTTACATATAGGTAAGCAGATAATTAACAATTTTTCTTACCATAAATTTAATAAATTTAAATAATCTAGGGAGAAAATACATAAAAAGTGAGGAAAGCTTCACGTAGATCAAAAGGTATAATAAGCTTGTTCAAATATACATATATAATATACTATATTATATTATGAAATATTCATGAGTCAATAAACGAGCATCTTACATGGTGGTTTAAAGGGGGTGTTGCAGGGATTATTCGCCAGACCCTTACGTATTTATAGTATAAAGGTATATAGACGTATAATGAATCYACAATGAGCGCTGTTTTTAGGCTGAAAAGTCGTTGACCTTTATATTATACCATGCCAAAAATTCAAATTTAATGACGATCGTATGTTATTGCAGTATCCAGATTGATGGGCTCGTCAAACACCCCGATGAATGGTATGACAAACATGGAATGCGATATCAAACCACCTCTACAGTTTCCACTTACCCAGAGACGAAAGCGGAGAGTGCTGTTCACTCAGGCTCAAGTACGTTAAACTATATAACATATATATATATTATGTATGATATTCTATATACTATATAGATACAATCGTATAATTTCGAATACGTTTCAATTCTTTATGTTTTATTTTTATTTTTACAAATTCTAATTTTAACCCAAGTGCAGCGGAATTATAAAACTTTTGACTCAGAAACAATGTTGTATTTAAGTTTTTTTTGTTACTTTTATACATATTACGTAAGAATTATATAATGAATATCAGATCAGTAATTATGCGTCAATGCGTTTACAGCTATAATACACAGCTATAACCAATACATAATTGACAATTTTATAATATTATTTTTTCAATTCACATTCTATTTAATTTTTTCAATTTAAATGTGAAGTTGTATTTTGTAAAGTAATACATTTGTCTAAAATGTCATCCTATATAAAGTATACTTTATTTTTATTTTTTAGTTTGAGTCCTTATATCAGTGCACAATGTGCACATATATTATACCATACATACCTACTATATGATCTTTATTTACGTTCGAGAACGCGAGAATGTATATTCTGAAACCCAAAACTATATTTACTATTCAAGTTCATAGATGTTTACAGCACACTTAAACTGTCTCAAAATCCACATTTCTTATATAAATGTAAACACAATCAGGCGTCACGTCAAATCCACGAAGGCATCGTTTTGACACGAACACATCCATCCCATTTGTACATTGTCCAAATATTCTTCCCCTTTGGGCGTTTAAGCGTTGGCTTGTGTATGTATTTATTTCCTTTCCAAAATCGATGTCTTATCCTATACGCTTTACTTTAGAAAAGACGAAATAACCAATATTATAGTTATTGTATTACTTTTATAGGTTTATGAACTAGAACGGAGGTTCAAACAACAAAAATATTTATCAGCGCCTGAACGAGAACATTTGGCTAGTCTAATTCATTTAACTCCTACACAGGTAAATAATAAGTATAATTATATTATGATTATGTATTATCTAAAATGATGACAAATATAAAGTATACTTTAACTTGTAAATATAAGAAGTAGTTATTCATTAAAAAATCATCAATATATATAATCAAATTAGTCGTGATTAAATAAAAATTATTAATCGTAATTTTTGTCTAAATGTTAAATTAAAGCAATCATTAAATTTAAAAAATATTTATTCAATCATATAATTGTTTCACAACTTCAAATTTATTCAATTTCCATAATTTACTATAATATAGGTACCTATATAATATCAAAACATATTTAAAATGTATTAATATATTTTTAACTTGATACATAAATATTTTTATTTTTTAAGCATTTATTGTGATAATATGATGTAATAATAACGTTAGTCCTAAAGTTCGATAAACAAATTAAAATTTGTTATTTAAACTGAATTTTTTCTGGCGTAATATTATCTGTAATAACTAATGGTCCGATAAACGATCTCCTATAAAATTATAAAATGACATACCGTAATGGCTTATTGGCTTATAGTATAATTTATCAGTATATATACTTGTTTTTTGATACACTACTATTTTATTAACGATCCAATTTATATTTTACTATTGACACAATAAAAAAGGGTTTTATGCTTTGAGACGTTATTACTATATTAGGTAATATTTAGGTTCAATCAATAATAGTCAGCACGATAATAATTACTTGTATGCATTTTTTATTTTAAAGTTTATAATATTACAAACTATACCCTATACATGATACATAAGCATAAATACATATAATTTACGTATAATAAATGTGTTGGCGGCAATTTTTTATCAAGTTCTATATAAGTACCCACTAATATACTGTTATAGACAAAATTTTAGGTATTATAAAAACTCTAAAAGTTTCATACATCATCTATAATAATTATATATACATATATATGACTCTATGAAGAATGAACAGATCATTTTGGATTAGAGGTTCTTGGTTGTATAATATACCTAAATATATAATATAATAGATAATTTTATRTCTTATAATATAATATTTCAGCTACAACATTTTATGCATGTGTATAAGAGGGTCAACGAGTTCGATTAGAATGTTTGTACATAAAGTTAATATTATTTTTTTTTTTAACCGGTAGCAGGGCACAATATAGTTAAAATACGTATATAGTTAATAATATATTTTAATCGTGACTCGTTCTGTTTAAAATTTCGATTGGTTACTTGATGTCTTATAATATTATATGATGGGTTGAAGTATAGTAKAATTTCCTTTATTAGAACAAATAAAGGCGGTAATAGTACACACCAGCGACCAGCCCATGTTTATGGACTATTGGCGTCATCATATACTCATAACGATATACCAATATGTCTAAAATATAGAATATAGGTACACTCCTTGTTTATTTATTATAAATTTATAGGTACGCCGAATTCTATATATATATATTTGTGAGTTGTTTCGCAATCGTGTTTCACAATAAATGGATAAATGGGACGGATAGGTACAATTTATTTCGGCTATTGTTTGAGACGATTATTGTTTAATTTAACGTCCACTGATTGTGCTTAAAAATAAAACGAACTAATTTCCAAAAAAAGTATTTACGTATTATATTATATTTAGGTATTAAATCCGTATTCACGGTAATAGTTTAAAACAATTTTCAAAATATAAAGCAAAATTAGATTCTTATGCGTTTTGACACTTAAGTCTGTAATATTGATTTATATAATGTCCGCGTATAGGTACGTATGTATAGACATAATGCATAATATAAGATTTCGTTTGGCGTCACGCGGTGAGATTATCGCGGCTCAACCGATGAACTACGCCCTATTGTAACCCGGCTTAAACGTTTGGGCTGCAGCGTGCGGTTAATGAGGCTTAAACATTTTCCGGGGTTACGCGTGCGTCTGTCCCACCACCACTCCGCCGCCACSGTTGCGATCTCTCGTCGCGCGCGTACATAATATTAAACAATCACGATGATGCAGGGGACCGCTTCAGCGCGTATTATTATTATYGTTTCTCTAGTCGCGCCGGTTTCCTCTGCAGTGCGCCACCCGTCGCCGCCCCCATTCTGTTCGTATATACCATCACCATCATCACCCACCACCACCCATGGCCGAGACACCAGGCTTTTGTGTATTTATTTTTTACTACGCAGCTTAATCGTATATAATAATATATATCGGCGGTGGTCGCTAAAATGTATTATCATATATAATATTATGTACATATATATACGCGGCGCAAGCACACGCACGCACACGACAGTACACGGTGGTGCGCGTGGTGGTGCCGCTGCCGCTGCAGCAGTGCGTTGCGCAGGGGGGGCACAAAAGCGTATTCATCGCGAGCCCTCCGAAAAACGTACGTCTGAAGTGGCGAGAGCATATATGCGCGGCACCACTCGAGATGATGATCGGTATATACCCGGTGCGCGGTGGCGGCACCAGAACAATGGCCGACAGATTGTGCCTGGTATATGCACGGTATACGCGCGGTATACGGGGCCGCCGGGGCGCCAGATGTTGCGGCAAAGACCCCGAGAGCCATATTCGTATATATATATAATATATTGTATACATAATAATATGTATGTATTATATTT